GTTAACTCTGTTTTCTCCTCCACAGATGCTGCCAGACCTGCTGAGCTTTTCCAGCAACTTTGTTTTTGTTCCTGATTTACAGCATCCGCAGTTCTTTTGGTTTTTATTTGATAGAGGCAGAGCAGTGGATATTGCCTAAATGGACTTCAGCAAGGCATTTGACAAGGTTCCACATGTTAGACTGATTAGCAAAGTTAGACCACATAGAATCCAGGGACAGCTAGCCATTTGGATACCAAATTGGCTTGAAGGTAGGAGACGGAGGGTGGTGATGGAGGATTGTTTTTCAGACTAGACCAGTGGTGTGCTGCAAGAATTGGTGCTAAGTCCACTGCTTTTTGACATTTATATAAATTATTTGGATTTGAATGTAAGAGGTATGGTTATTAAGTTTGCAGATGACACCAAAATTGATGGTGTCGTGGACAGTGAAGAAAGTTATCTCAGAGTACAATGGGATGTTGATCAGTTGGGCAGGTGGGCCGAGGAGTTTAATTTCGATAAGTGTGAGGTGTTCAATATTGGAAAGGCAAATCAGATCAGGAAATGTGCACTTAATGGGAAGGTCCTGGGGAGTGTTACTGAGCAAAGAGACCTTGGGGCACAGGTTCATAGTTCCTTGAAAGTGGAGTAACAGGTAGACAGGCTTGTGAAGAAGGTGTTTTGTATGCTTGCCTTAATTGGTCGGTGCATTGAGTATATAAATTTAGATGTCATATTGTGGCTGTGCAGGACACTGGTTAGGCGACTTTTGGAATACTGTATTCAATTCTGGTCTCCCGGCGATGTTGTTTGAAAGATGTTGTGAAACTTGAAAGGGTGCGTAAAAAGTTTACAAGGATGTTGCTGGAGTTGAAGGGTTTGAGCTCTCGGGAGAGGCTGAATAGGCTGGGGCTATTTTCCCTGGAGTGTTGAAGGCTGAGGGGTGACTTTACAGAAGTTTATAAAATCACGAGGTGCATGGATCGGGTGAATAGTCAACATATTTTTTCCCAGGGTAGTGGAGTCCAAAACGAGAGAGCATAGGTTTAAGATGAGAGGAGAAAGATTTAAAAGGGACCCAAGCAGACGTCGATGTGTATCCGGAATGAGTTGCCAAAGGATATGGTGGAAGCTGGTACAATTATAACATTTAGAAGGTATCCAGATGGGAATATGAATAAGAAGGGTTGAGTGGGATATGGGCCAAATGGTGCCAATTGGGTCTAGACTAATTTAGGATATCAGCTCTGCATGAACGCGTTCGTAGTGTACAGGTCTATGTTGGTCTGACTCTTATGACTTTAGTAAAGCGCCTCCCCAATCTGTAATATAACGTGGGGAAGTACAATATAAAAGGGTGGCTCTTTCAGTTCATCGACTCGTTTCTGTGGCTGCGTGACTGAGTTTACCACAATACTACCTATTATGGGCAACTTGACTTCGTCGTGTGCTTTAGTCAAAGAAGTTAATGCACCCTATAATGCCCCAATAATAATTGTAACCTTCATCCTCGGATTTATTGGAAATGCCGTTGCTTTATGGATCTTCAGTTT